ACGACAACTCGAATTTCAACGTGCCGCCATGTTGGGTCTTGCAGTGTGACCTTTATCATGTTGACCTCATTATGCAAGTATTTCCCCGCCCACCTCATTATAATATATGCTCATGAATATTTAATAGCAATGAATTTCTGCAAATAAACTAGTCGGGGTGATTTCGCGATTTTATTTTATTTTATTTTTAATATTTAAACTACAAAACAAATTAATCGCTCCGACTGCGCCAGTCTAGCAGTAATTATATTCTAAGTACATCCATAGACTGCAAAGGCGGGCGGCACGAAATTTTGCATGAGGGGCGAGATCTGAAAACTATACCCTTTGAAACGCCATTTTGCTATTTTGAACAAAGCACATACTGTGTATGTCAGACCAGGGAGCTGGTCAGACGCATTAGCAATTTCTAATGTCATCAGTGTCATCGTGGGACAAAATCGCACTCAGGTAAATCAATGCTGCCAATCCATTTCTCGTTATCGAGTGTCAGAGTGGGTCAACACTGCCCTCGGGTACCAAAATTCCTCGTCCAGTTTCAATGTTCATGATAAAAAATGAGTAAGTACTTTGTGAATGATAAAATGGTCACCTCTGTTGTTGTTCATTTCTTTGTGTACATTATACACCCATGTCAATGGACAAGGTGAACAAATATTTGGACAGGACAACTCACTTGTTTACCAGTGCGTACGGACACATTCCAGGTACATGCACTGTTTGCACGCTGATGACAACGTTGCTTTGCAAATAAAAAACGCTGTTTGTCCTGTAATCACTAGTCATGAAAATTAAATTCTACGTTCACGTATATCTGAAAAAGGATGGTCATCAAATAAAATTGATTTAAGTTACGCTTGACAAAAACAGTTGAACTGCTTGGAAGTCGAGTATAACAAACACTTATAATAAGAACAGAACCTGTTGCTATAGTTACATAGGTATTGTTAGTACTAGTAATAGTATACATTGACTGCGATATACGGATCAAACGTGAAAAACAGTCAGTGAACAATACTATGAAAGGGAATTTAACCTCATAGGATTTTAGAATTTACAAACTGCCCTTTAAGGTAGAGATGCAGTTTACCTGACAGGTATTTTAATTAGTTAATTAGGGAACCAAGATGACCTCCCTTGTCCACAAAACTATATATTTTCTGAAAGCTTATTGTATGAATTTTAAAATTTTGTTAATATTTTTTTCTATGGACACTGCAGTTTGAAATATGCACAAAAATGTGATTTTTTGGTCAAAAGTGATTTAAAAAAAATAGCTTCTAAACCATGCTTCTGTTTTCTGTCAAAATTGGTATATGGGTACATCTGTTTACTATGAAGAAAGTGCCGTCTTGAAAATTGTCTACCAGTTCTCAATTTTGCAGGGCCGCAGCTCAAATTTTACTACTTCAATTTCATGCATAAATTAACACCTAGGATAGTTGTCTGTACGATTGTTGCAACACTGTTCAACCAAAAACAATACCCCAACGGCGTTTTGAAGATAAGCACATTGTCAATCATTTGTGAAAATTTCAAAACAAAAGGTCAAAGCGTCTAGGAGCTATTTTTTTTAAAAGTTCTGGGACGTGCACTCAAAAGAAGCTGAGATAATTGTTAATTTGCATAACAATTCACTCAGTAAGAAGATTGCTAATGCTCATAATTAAAATGGCTGTAGCAGTTCCAAATTTAAATGTATTATCGTTTTGTTAAAAGTTAAATATAGTGCATAATATGGAGATCCCGCCATTTCTTTTTTTCACCATGTTTCTGTTTTTATTATTTATCTACAGCCTTGCTAAATCTTGCTAAGCATTCAAAAGAAAGAATGTTTGCACCTGTTATCTATATTTTAAAATCGTATTTTGAGTATGTTCCACTATTCACAATTGTACAAAATTGTAACAGTCTATAGCCAAGACTGTTTGTATAATAAAAAGCTAAAAAACAAAACAAAAAATCACTCCCAAGTGTCCACGAACCTGCATCTCTACCTTAAAGTGTCAATTGACACACAAACTCGGGCTTTTCAAGTTACTACAAATTATAATATTGAGTATGAGATTGCAAATGAACAAGACAAACTACAGGTGCATTATGGGAAATGGATTACTATACTAGAAATAATTAAAGCGCGGCTCCGCAATCCCAGGGATTGTAATGCATTCAACTCTGTAATGTAATCTTTATGACGTAATGTTGCCAATACTGGTATTGATAAAGCTATAAGATAATATTTGATAATGCTTACGTTGTGTCAGCATTATCTGATCATGTTTACATCGTTATATCATTAATATGCATTGGTTTAGTAACATGTTTATATCAAGAGTAAATGTGGATACAATTCGAGTTTTGTAGCACTAATCTCACCCGATAGAAAGCGTCCAGTATTCGTGCAACGTGTTCGAATTTCGTTTAAACAATGGCTTTTACACGCTTTGTATACATCGCTTGGGATGTTTATCGAACACATAATAACCTTCAAAAACGGCACGATGATGAAAGTGCAAATTGTTGATTTAGTATCACAGGACAAATTAGAATTATCACTCGACACTAATTTTATAACAGCTCATCACTACCTTTTTTTTTTTAAGTTTGAATCTTTATTTTGATGGCGCGTTTTATTTCTTGGACTAGCACACATTTCAGACGACAGCAGATCTATAATGTAAAGGGTTAATCATGGCGGCGAGGTCACGGTTGCTACGACCTACATACGACCCACCACCAACTTGGTAGTATAACAATACGATAGCTTGCTTGGAATTACATTTATGCATATCAATAAGGTCACACGACACGTATCATTACCCCCCCCCCCCCACACACACACACACTCTGTGCTATCGCTGACTAAAATAAAAATCCAATCCCGGACACAAATTCCAGTTAATATTACATGTATTAGCAATTCAATATGCATTGCGACAGGGTCACTCCCCTTAACCATGATGCGTTGCCATGAAATTTAATCATACTGTGAAATAAAACAATATCGATAGGAAATCACCAAGTGTAATTGATATACACATAACATGTGCATATCTATCGCAGCTGCATTTGACGACATGCCATTTTACTGGATATTTGAGTGAAATAAAAATACACAATGCATTCTTCGAAGCTTGAATATAATCATGAAACAAAAGTATGTGTCACAGCAACCCATTATGTGTACTGCTCACACTAAGTTGGATCAATCTATTCATTCCACATTTTACCCACTCTTTCTATACGCATTGCATCTTCGATCTAAAATTATTCTGCCGGGTATGATAGGATTTCTCGCAATAAATCCTTCGTTTATGAAATTTTATAAAATTTCTTAAAACATGTATTCAGGTTATATTGTAAGTATGACTTTCATAAATTAACTGATGTTTATGAAAGTCATATTTTAACAACAGTACAATACTTTGTCATAAGTTATTTTCTTTCAGTTGCAGACAGTAGCTAACATAAACACCTAGCGCTATTTAGCTACAATAACTTATTACAATTAGTTATTTACATTATGCCTTCTACTTCCCTGAGTAATGACAGTAAACAGATTTGAGAGTTATTAATGACCAGTCAACATTCAGCAGAACAAAATCAGTAGGCAGTATATGAATCCCTGCCTTAACACAGGATGTGTGAAAAACGCAAAAACACAGAAATCTGAACATTTTGTGACAATTTTTTTCTACAAAGGGATGGATAGATACTGTTGAAAGCATATGCACAGTATAACATAAATCACATGCAACATACGTGACAGCAGACCCATGAGCTAGGAAGTATAAGTTGCACTTTCACGCACGTTTGTCATGAGTGAACAACTACGATTACCCAGTTTGCAACAACGATAAATAAGACATAGTAAACACAATAGCGACGAGCCAGAGATACATATAACTGTCAGTTTTCGTGAGTCAATGCTCCAGGTTTAACGAGGCACCGGACGTTAGTACCTGGGCAGAATAACGATAACGAAGTCATACCGCGAATATTGCGAGTTTTAGAAGTTGTTCTGGCCCCATCGCAGTGTTCTCAGAGTATATGCGCGTTTTAGGTAAATTTTGTCGTACTGGCGGACAATGGGCGAATTACCTGCCCGAAACACAGGCAATAGTTACTGTATTATAAGATATTGAAAAATAAGCTGTAACAATAATTTAGAAAAACAACACAGATATTTGAACCAAAATTTAAATTTAATATTTTGCAAATAATACTTCGTAAATTATTAACCCAATATTTGCTGAATGACTTCATCACAAATGTAGGCAAGTGAAATTAAAAAAAAAAAAAACTTCCATTTGAAATGAACATCCATATGCAGTTAATGATAATGCATTTATTATGCAAATGAATATTTATGTTCGTATACATAAAATATTGTTTTTGACACTCCGACGTCATTTCACACACATATAGGTATGCCATACGCCATCAAAACAAAAACCGGAATACTATTGAACGGTGTTTAAAGCGGGAGGGT